ATGGTACTAGTAACAGAATACATTGTAAAAGAATTGAAATAAAGTTATGGTTGTGGGCAATTAAAGATAGTTGTGGTTCTTGTATGTTGCATTTCCTTTCAATGTGGTTGACCATTGATGAAGTTTTATTGAATTACTCTGTAATAAGTCCAGAAAGACAAGGAAAAGGAACAAAGGGCAATACCTCTATAAATACTGAAGATTGAGTTATGGTTCTTGTACACTGCACTTCCCCGCATTGCGTTTGACCATTTTATGAAGTTGTATTGAATTCCAACTATTAGTTTTCAAGTTATGCACTGGACAAAAAGGTAATAATGGAACAAACTGTAATTAGTTCAAACAGAGTTATGGTTCTTGTGCACTTCCTCTCAATATACTTGACCATCGTATAAAATAGTATTGAATTCAAACAAGTAGTTTTCAATTTATGCTCTGGACAAGAAAAAAGCAATGGAAAAGAAACAAAGGGCAATAACTCTACAATTACTCTGGACAGCGTTATAGTTCTTCTGCATTGCACTTCCTCTTATTGTGCTTGACCATTGTATGAAGTTGTTTCGAATTCCAACCAGTACGTTTTAAGTTATGCTCCAAACAACGAAAAGTATCAAAGGGCATTAACTCTGTTATTTGTCACAATGGAGTTATGGTTCTTGTGCACTGCACTTCCTCTTAATGTGCTTGACAACTATATGAAGTTATATTGAATTCCAACTAGTAGTTGTCAAGTTAAGCTTTGGACAAGGAAAAGTAACAAAGGACAAAAACTCTGTAATTAGTCAAGATTGAGTTATGGTTCTAGTGCACTGCACTTCCTCTCAATATACTTGACCATCGTATAAAATAGTATTGAATTCCAACAAGTAGTTTTCAAGTTATGCTCTGGACAAGAAAAAAGCAATGGAAAAGTAACAAAGGGCAATAACTCTATAAATACTCTGGACAGAGTTATAGTTCTTCTGCACTGCACTTCCTCTTATTGTGCTTGACCATTGTATGAAGTTGTTTCGAATTCCAACCAGTACGTTTTAAGTTATGCTCCAGACAACGAAAAGTATCAAAGGGCATTAACTCTGTAATTTGTCAAAATGGAGTTATGGTTCTTGTGCACTGCACTTCCTCTTAATGTGCTTGACAACTATATGAAGTTATATTGAATTCCAACTAGTAGTTATCAAGTTAAGCTTTGGACAAGGAAAAGTAACAAAGGACAAAAACTCTGTAATTAGTCAAGATTGAGTTATGGTTCTAGTGCACTGCACTTTCTTTTAATGTGCTTGATCATTATATAAAGTTGTATTGAATTCAAACAATTAGTCTTCAAGTTATGCTTCGGACAAAAAATGCAATGGAAAAGTAACAAAGGGCAATAACTCTGTAATCAACCAAGATGGAGTTATAGTTTTTGTGCACTGCACTTCCCCTTATTGTGCTTGACCATTGTATGAAGTTGTCTTGAATTCCAACCAGCAGTTTTCAAGTTATTCTCTGGACAAGGAAAAGTAACAAAGGGCAATAACTCTGTAATTAGTGAAGATGGAGTTATGGTTCTTGTGCACTGCAGTTCCCCTTAATGTGCTTGACAATTGTATGAAGTTGTTTTGAATTCCAACCAATAGTTTTCAAGTTATGCTCCAGACGAGGAAAGTAACAAAGGGCAATAAATCTATCATTAGTCAAGATGGAATTATGGTTCTTGTGTACTGCACTTCCTCTCAATGTGCTTTACCATTGTATGAAGTTATATTGAATTCCAACCATTAGTCTTCAAGTTATGCTCCGGACAAGGAAAATGCAACGGACCGCTGGACTGACCGACCGACAGACTGACAACCAGGTGACTCCTAAATACCACCCCAAAACTTCATTTCGGGGTATAAATATCAAAAATATGACACTTAAGCAAAATTCAATAATTTGACCTTGACAGTCAATGACATTTAAAGCTTAAGGTCAAGGTTAGTTCAACTTTTTATAAGGTCTTGTCCAAAATGTTGTTTTGTCAAAGATTGAAGATAATCTATTTATAAATTACCAAGTTCCAGTCAATTATAGCAAAAAATAGTGAAAATTCATAAATTTAACCTTAAAGGTCAAGGTCATAAATAACCCAAGTTCAATTTGAGTTTGATTTACAAAAAGATATTGTCCTAAAAATGCTTTGTCTTAATATAAGTCTTAATATAAGTCAATCCATTCATTACTAGAACTCTGTGAGTTTGAAGTGTTGCCTTGTCAACAGTTTAGCTGTCAGTAATTCAGCATTAAAATTTTCTTAAATATAGGTTATTTATAAACACTGCTCTTGCTATATACATGTACCTTTAACTTTAGTGGCATTTGAACACATAACAAGAGCTGCCCCCGAAAGGAAGCTTTGACATAAGATCAGCAATATATGCCAAAATACCGGTAATATACACCTGACCACTTTTGATAATATCATTCCTTAAATTTCATTTATTCCATTAGAATTGTAGGAGAAATAGTCTAAACAAATCTAATTGAAACAAGATGTTACTATTTATAGCTCCAGCCACCATTTTGTGCAGAAGAGCAGAATGTGCCAGAGATATGCACAATAAGGGATGTTACTGATCACTTCTGTGAATCTGTGAAGTTCATCAGTTAACCTGTGAAAGAGCTGGACAAGATTTTTCTTTTCACAGCTATGGCGGCCATTTTGTGCAGCTGAGCGAAACTTGCCTGCAATATGCTCAACAAAGGATGGTACTGATCACTCATATTAAGTTTCATTGTAATTCAGCCAGGAGTTTGACCTGTGAAAGCCAGACAAGATTTTTCTATTTACAGCTCTGGCAGCCAATTTGTGCAGCCAAGTGGAACATGCCGGGAATATGCACAACTAGGGATGGTACTGATCACTCCTATGAAGTTTCACTGAAATCCCCCTACTGGTTTTGGAGATGAAAGGTGGACAAGATTTTTCTATTTATAGCTGTGGCAGCCATTTTGTGCAGCGAATCAGAAAGTGCTGGCAATATGCACAACTAAGGATAGTACTGATCACTTCTGTGCAGTTCAATTGAAATCCCACAGGTTACAGTTTGGCTTGTGAAAGCTGGACAAGATTTTTCTATTTACAGCTCTGACTGCCATTATGTGCAGCGTAGTGGAACATGCCGGAGATATACACAACTAGGGATGGTACTTATTACTCCTGTAAAGTTTCATTGAAATTCAGCCAGCAGTTTTGGAGATGGAGCAAGGACAAAAATGTTTTATTTATAGCTCTGGCGGCCCTTTTAAGCAGTGGAGCAGATCATGCCTGCGATATGCACATCTAGGGATGGTACTGATCACTCCTGTGAAGTTTCACTGATATCAGAGATGAAGCAGGGACAATATTTTTTTCTATTTACAGCTCGAACAATATTTTTCTATTTATAGCTCTGGCGGTCATTTTTTGCAGCGGATCAGAAGGTGCCGGTGATATGCACAAGGTAGGGGTGATACTGATCACTCCTGTGAAGTTTCACTGAAATCGCCCTAGGGTTTTTGGAGATGACACCTAGACAATTTTTCTATTTATAGCTCTGGCAGCCATTTTGTGCAGAGGAGTGGAATGTGCCGGCGATATGCACAACTATGTATGATACTGATCACTCGTGCAAAGTTTTATTGAAATCCTCCCCAGCAGTTTTGGAAATGAAGCGCAGACAAGATTTTTCTCTTTATAGCTCTGACGGCCATTTTGTAAAGCGGAGCAGAATGTGCCTGCGACATGCACAACTAAAGATGGTACTGATCATTCCTGTAATGTTTCAATGAATTTCCCCAAGTGGTTTTGGAAATGAAGCGCAGACAAGATGACCAGACGGACGGAAGGACGGAGCATAAAAAAATACTATGGAAAAGTTTTTTACACTGAAAGATCAAATGGAGAACTCTGTGACAGATCTTGTGCACTGCAATTCAGGTCAAGAAAAAAAGCTTGCAATACCAAATTTGGAGGCCATCAACTTATAGCTCTAGACAAGCTTATTAAGTAGGAAAATTAACTAAGGAAAATAACTCAAAAATCATGAAGTGCAAAGTACAAGTTCTTGTGCACTGCACCTCTTCTCAATGAGCTCTATTGTCCTATGAAGTTTCAAGTCCATAGCTCTTATAGTTTAAGAGAAATTGCCTAGGCAAATATAAAGTATGAAAATTTACAAAGGTAAATAACTCAAAAAATAAGAAGTGCAGAGTAATGATTCTTATGCACTGCACTTCAGGTTATTGAAAAGCATGCATACCAAGTTTGTAGTCAATTATACCTACAATGACTGAATTATGCTCAGGACAAGTCTAAGGGGACTCTGCCACCAACACCTCCAATGCCCCCAAGGAAAGTAACCCCTATATGTCGACATTTTCAAGGTGACACATAAAACGTTGTAAGCCAGTTACACAAAAAATGAAAATTGCAACAATTTGACCTTCAAGGTCACTTAAGAGTGAAGGTCAAGGTCTGTCTAGTTAACTTGAAGGTCTATCCTAAAAGATTATATGTCTAAGTTTGGAGACAATCCATCTAAAATAACAAAGTTACAGCCAAAAATAGCAAAATAGAAGCAAAATTTAGACATTTGACCTTGAAGGTCAAGGTCATCTATGAATAAAGGTCAAGATTAGTCTGTTCTACTACAAGATCTTGTCTCATTGGTTGTTGCGGCCAATTATGAAAACAATACTCAAAGAACTTAAAATTTATGGTCAAGGTACAAGTTTGCAGATTGCAACACCAACATGACTGTAACAATACCTTTATCTTTTTTATGAATTTTTTTTTCAAAAAAAAAAAAAAAAAAAAAAATCCAACTAAAAACATGTACTGCGAATTTTTTCTGATAAATTTGGAACAATTTATGATTTTTTTTTTTAGACTGAAATATATGAAAGGCATATGAAATGAAGTACAAATTGTTATTAGAAACAGAATTGAATAGAAATTCTGTATGTCATTATTTAGTACAAATCTGGTTCTGTACCTTTTTTCTTGAAAATTCTGTTCCATAAATTGATAATTTTGACATTGTTTTTCTTTCTTTCCTCTTCTTATAAGCATTGCTTTGCAAAGTGTCTGAATAAGTTTTGAATTCTGTAGGTTAATATTCAATGTATGTAAGGCACATACAACAAGAATACATCCGTTCAAAATTTGTCCTCGTTCTCCCTCACTTGCTGTTGACTGATCTCTGTCTATTTTCCACAGATCAAACATTGCTTGGACCAAGTTCTTCCCAAACTAAAAATGATATCAAATGAGATTTGGTAATCTTTGCAACATCTTTAAAGTATAGTAAATTATATCATTATAAATTACACACAGAGGACCATGATGGCCCTGAGGTCGCTCACCTGTATATAGCCCCCCCAACGCCCACCCCCCCCCCAACGTTGCAGGGCCAATTTAACCTAAGGGCTTTTATTTGCACAAACTTGGTAGACACCCATAAGAAGATGTTTCATGCTAAACATCTAAGCTCTAGCTCATTGGGCTTTTTAAAAGAAGATTTTTTACTCATATAGTTAAAAACAATGACATCCCTGGGGCCCGGCCAGTTTTAACCCCAGGGCTTTTATTTGAACAAACTTTGTAGACACTTACTAGAAGATGTTTCATGCTTAATATCTAAACTCTAGCTATTTGGGTTTTTTCAAAGAAAATTTTAAGTTTTTGCTATACACATATAAAGAAAATCAATGACCCCCGGGGCGGGGCCAATTTTGACCCAAGGGCTTTTATTTGAACAAACTTTGTAGACACTAACTAACAGATAATTCATGCTTAATATTTTAACTCTAGCTTTTTGGGTTTTTTCAAAGAAGATTTTTTAAGTTTTTGCTATATACATATAAGGAAAATCAATGACCCCCGGGGCGGTGCCAATTTTGACCCCAGGGCTTTTATTTGAACAAACTTGGTAGACACCAATTAGAACATGTTTGTTGCTAAATATCTTAGCCATAGCTCTTTGAGTTCTTTAAAAAAAGATTTTTTAAGTTTTTACTATATGCATATAGGGAAAATCAATGACCCCCTGGGGCGGGCCAATTTTGACCCCAGGGCTTTTATTTGAACAAACTTTGTAGACACTCACTAAAAGATGTTTCATGCTAAATATCTTAGCTCTAACTCTTTTGGTTCTTTAAAAAAAGATTTTTTAAGTTTTTACTATATGCATATAGGGAAAGTCAATGACCCCCGGGGCGGGGCCTATTTTGACCCCAGGGCTTTTATTTGAACAAACTTGGTAGACACCTATTAGAACATGTTTGATGCTCAATATCTTAGCCATCGCTCTTTGAGTTCTTTAAAAGAAGATTTTTTAAGTTTTTACTATATGCATATAGGGAAAATCAATGACCCCCCGGGGCGGGGCCAATTTTGACCCCAGGGCTTTTATTTGAACAAACTTGGTAGACACCCATTAGAACATGTTTCATGCTAAATTGTTAGCTCTAGCTCTTTGGGTTCTTTAAAAGAAGATATTTTAAGTTTTTACTATATGCATATAAGGAAAATCAATGACCCCCCGGGGCGGGGCCAATTTTGACCCCAGGGCTTTTATTTGTACAAACTTGGTAGACACTCACGAGAATATGTTTCATGCCAAATATCTAAGCTCTAGCTCTTATGGTTTTTTAAAAGAAGATATTTAAAGTTTTTTCTTTTGGTTGCCATGGCAACCAGAGTTCTGCATGGAATTAAATTCTTTGAACAATTTTTAAAGGTGACCACCAAAGGAACATTCCTGTGAAGTTTGGATGAAATTGGCTTAGTGGTTTATGAGGAGATGTCATTTAAAGTAAAAGTTTACGGACGGACGCCGGACGGACGGACGCCGGACGAAAAGCGATCACAAAAGCTCACCCTGTCACTTTGTGACAGGTGAGCTAATAATAAGGATAAAAGACATGCCCTGAATTCACATTGATTTAGTGTAAACAAGTTCATATTCACATGATCCTTATTTCGCAAAAATACCTTTCCTGAATTATTTTTTGGATTTATGAATTTGCACCTGCAGAGTCAGAAATTGAAATTTGCATTTTTTTTTGTATCTTACTTTGCAAAATAACTGGGTAGGAAGACTTTATTACAAATTAATTTCCTTACTGTGCCAAACTTATTCTCAGAAAATTTTCCATAAATGTATTATTTATTATGAATTTTTTTTATACTTTGTCATAATTATTTGGATATAATGTATAATAATATACAGTATTATTTGATAATTCCCTCATTAAAGATAGAGTTCTTCTCTGTCTTTCTCATGATTTTTGTGGTTGTTTATCAACTATATATCTTACAGTAAACAATATAAGTATTCAAAGATTCGTGTAAAAGAACCATTGAAATATCATTCAGAACTTTATCTGACGTCGTATTACCCATGACAGTGCTATATTTAGTGGAGCACTGTGATTGGATAACTAATTCCGTTACCGAATCTCATTGGCTCAAAGTACTTAAATTGAATGTTTAGCAGAGGCCAAATTTCAAAATACAGATGCTCACTTCAGTAAATCTCAGAGCAGCTTCTCCAACCATAATACACCGACTAACAAGGTTATTATTTGAACAGTAGCTCAACCTTATCTGTCAAACAACAGAAATCAGCCGAAACTTGAACATTCCGCTAAATAAATATTCTGTTAGAAGATTTAACTATAATTTATGCAAAACATGTACATATTACCCGTTCTTTAACAACTTAACATTGATGAAGTCATTACAGTTACAATACCAAGGGCAATAATTTATTTGTTTTACAGTATTCAATCATTTACTTATTATATCTCACTGTACTTGAGCATTTTGGTATATTAAAGTGTTTATATTCTTTTTCATTGACTAAGTTTTAGTAATAGAAAGAGCACCGAAACACGAGGCTATCTGATTTGTACGAGGGGGCGTAGCCCTCGAGTATTAATCAGATTGCCGAGTGTTTTGGTGTTCTTTCTCTTTTGTATCATAGTCAAACATAAAAGCAAGTTCCCTGTTGTCACAATATGAAACCCCGGCAAAAATGAACCAATGAACGAACATCTGAATATGACATTTCTGTCGCTTTCCCTTTCTCTGTCATCACAATATGTAAACCCCAGCAAAAATGAGCCAATCAATGGGCATGCTCTGGAGTGCGAGTAACTAAAACCTGCACTCCAGTTAACGCACTGTGCATGTATATGTATACGATTTAACCCTGACACATTTTCAACAGAAAGGTCTCCAAACTATGATACAATAATTTATTACCATACTTTTAAACTTCAGTAGCCTTAAAAGTTTTACTGACAAAAACAAACAACAGTTACAATGGTAACAATATACTTGTTAATAATATTATACTTGAACATCAGTGTGATAAATTGTCCGTTTATCATTATTGTTTTTGTTAAAATTTTCTATTATTATCTAAACAACATGTGTTTACATTTGTCTGTAAAGTGCATTATTATATATATGTTGATATTGAGAGGATACTGGATGAAAATGATACTAAAATAACTAGAAATGTGTCAATAGTCAACAGGTGCCCCAACACTCACTGTTTAGTCAATCTTATGACTTTAGGTCAAATATTTTTTGGGCTACATGTGCCACAAGTTAAAAACTAAAAATCCTTTACTAAGTCAAGGGCAAGATCTTTACAAATACAGAATAAATTCACAAGTAAACCCCAAGGTGCATAAGTACATGGCTGACCAAAATTCTTGTAAACTTTCAGACCTACAGGTCGAATATTTTTTGAGTTATGCATGAACAAGTTGAAAATTGCAAATTCATACTAAGTCAAGGGCAATAATAACTCTTAACAAAACTGAAAAAAAATCCACATGCAAAACCCCAGGTGCATTATCTTCACAGTGATGTTGATCATTATTCCTGTAAAGATGGTTGATTCTTAAACTCAAGCACTTGAGTAACAAATAACACTACATAATGGAATAGTTTTCACTTAGTCAAAAACAATAAATCAGACAAAACAGAAAAAATCCACAAGTGAAACCCCCAGGTGCACAACTTCACATGCTAAGCAACATTCCTGTTCCTAGTGTTTCATGACACTAGATCAAATACTTTTAAATTTTCACGAAGTCAAGGGCAATAACTCTAAAATACTAAACATATCCAGATGACAATACCCAGGTGCACAACTACACATGCCGATCAACATTCCTGTAAAGTTTCATGACTTTTGAGCTACATGTGACACAAGTTGAATATTGCAAATATTTACTAAGTTAAGAGCAACTCTAACAAACAGAATAAATCCACAAGTAAAACTCCAGGTGCACAACTACACATGCTGAGCAACATTCCTGTAAGGTTTCATGACACTAGGTCAAATACTTTTTGAGATATGTGCGACACGAGTTGAAAATTGCAAATTTTTACAATGTCAAGGGCAATAACTCTAAAAATACTAAATATATCCACACAAAAATACCCAGAGGCACAACTACACATGCTGACCAATATTCATGTCTCTAGGTCTAATATTTTTTGAGCCACATGCAACACAAAAGTGAACAAACTGATGGATGGACACATAGACAGACTTTTCAAGGGTAAATCTAAATGTCCCCTCCCCCATAGTGGGGGCACAAAAAGGTTCTAAAGTATAAAATAAAGCAAAACAAGATATGTTTGTAAACCACAAATGTTCATGTGATCAGGCCATTGTAACTGACTTTTGACCTAGTGACCAAAAAATCAATAGGAGTTATCTACTGGTCATGACTTGTCACTAGGTAATGGTGACAGTAAAGGTTGAGTGCAGCAATTTTATAACAAAGTTATCACAAATCATACCGAATAATATATGCATAAAGAGCTAGGTTCACTTACCATGGTTTTTTGCCCAAGATTTTGGCAAAAATAAATGGATGCAAAGTTCTTGTTTTTGGTTTTGTTAGTTCAATCATTAAACTGTTAAAAACATATGAATTTATAGACATATATTTACATTTAGTATGATTTATGTTCTATGGAAATACCCCTATTTTCAGCAAAATTATGAAAATTCACGTAGTTTTGGTGTTTAAACCAAAATTAAAGTATCAGCACAGTCCAGCCCCAACAAAATCATTACACCATTGTGTTGTCATGTATCAAAGGCTTCAACTATATCAATATAAAGTTGGGGCTTGCCTGTGCTCTATTCCAAAATTAGATTTTTATCTAATATCTAAACGTCATTTTCTGACATTTATTTCATTAAATGCAAACCATAG